TTTCGTATCGAATTGAAAGTTCACTGTATCGAAGTCTGTATCGTATCGGTACCCAGACCTTATGCAGAGACGTTTAATGCCTCACTGTGGAATATTATAGACACAAGAAAGCCGTTTCCATGGAGACGAGCAGGAGGAGGCCCAGGCCAGATAAGAGTCAGGTTTGTGGAGATGCGAGCTGCTCACAATAAGGGTCAGGGTTCCAACTATGACAAAATTTCAAATTTTTCCATGACCTTTTCATGAGCTAAAGTGAATTTTCCATGACTTTCCAGCTCCTACATGTGTAAAACTGATCAGACTTTTAGTTCTAAATCTGAAATGTTAAATCTTTCCACTCGCCTTATGGTTTGGGATTATAGTTTTGAACATTTTAAATCCTGTCGGTGCATTTATTTATTTATTGTCGTCTGTTTTAAACAAAAGACTCAGACGTTTAGAAATAATCAGAACAAACTCACGAGAACTGAACAGAACACTGGAGCTGCGGGAAACAGAGACTGAAATTCCATGACTTTTTCAAAACTTTCTTTGAATTTACAAAATGACATTTTCAATTTCCATGACCGTGGGAACCCTGAAGCACGTCCTGTAGGTTTTTCTATGTTTTTCAGTAGAATTAACACATACATAAAGATTCATGTATTTTTTTATTACACTTTTATTTTAGTCAGTTTTTTGGCCAAAAAAAAAGTTACAAACTTTCATATTATGAAATATATCAAATGATAATTCAAAAGTTTTATTCAGTCTGAGATTATTTCCAAAAATGTTTAATAATTTATTTGACAATTTTCTCTGGTTTGAGGAAAAATGTGACTTTACCTGGAACTAAACTTAACTGTCAGAAAAATAATCTTTCCATTTTCCTGATTTCAAATTGTAATTCAAACCACGTGCCAAAGTTCCAGCTTTTGTTCAAAATTGATTCATGCCAAAAACATGGAAAATATGTTGAGTGAATTTGTTTTTTTTGTTAGAACCTGACATGAAGCAGCGTCTCACCTGTCGCGGCCCATGTAGCTGTGGGCGCTGCAGATGTACGTTCCTCTGTCCTGCACCTGGAGACTCTGGATCACCAAGGTCCCGTTGGACAGAACCTGGAGACGCTGAGATCTGGAGCTGACGGAGATCACGGCCCCTGAAGAACACGGAGAACACGGTGAAGAACCACACGAGGAGAAGAACACGGAGAACACGGAGAAACACGGTGAAGAACCAGATGAGGAGAAGAACACGGAGAACATGAGGAGTAAAATGTTCTTTATTTAATGTGTGTGAGCATCTGGAGGTGGAGAAGGTTCTGATTGGACAGAGACGCCAACAGATTTACGTCTTTGAGAAGAAAACACAAACTTCAGGTTCTGATGATAATTGTGAAGCAGCAGCTGGAGAATCGTCTCATCACACTTTCGCTCTACGTCCAAATAAAGGCGTCCAGTGTGTTTTTGTGTTTTTGATGCTGTGGCTTGTATTTACTGTCACAGGGTTTTGGTGATTTGATCCCGTCCACAACTCAGTGAAATCTGATTGGCTGAGACGAATGTCAATCTCAAACTCATCTCCACCTTGAGCTGAGTTGTTTGTTTTCACTCCAACCTCTGAAGCTCCTGCAGGTGTTTGTTCAGTTCAGGTGGGTCCAAACTTTTTTCATCAAGGGCCACACATGTAAACACAGCTGAAGCAGAGGGACGATCGAGGGCCACAGACTGATGATCAATACAGGAAATAATTCAAACATGTGCAGGTTTAACACGTTAGAATGAACCATCAGACTTTAATCAGGCTCAGATCCTTCAAATATAAAATAAAAGATCCTAAATATTAAATATTGGCTTTATTAAGGTACATTTTCAAAAACTTGCAGCAAAAAAAATATTTTTTAATTGCTGCAAGGTAATTTGGACCAATTCACCTGAAAGCCTGAGGGCCAAGAAAAGTTTGTCTGAGGGCCACATTTGGCCCCTGGGCCATAGTTTGGACATGCCTGGTTTAATATGTGTGTTTCACGTGACGTCACAGGGCGACGTTTGTCAAAATCAGACGGAGGCAGGAAGTGAACCGACTGGAGGAAAACACCGATGTGTTGTGTCGTTTACGTCTGTGCCAATCGTTCTAACCGAGAAGGAAAAGTGATTTTTTTTGGAGAACCGAATATAGTCGAACACAAAGGTCAGAAATGGGAAAAGCCGACAGAACAACACCGTAAAAAGTGGATTATAAACCTGTTTGCATCGGTCGGGAGGAGCAGAATTCACTAATGCTCGTGTCTGCGGTGACACTTCAACAAAGGTTTGTTACAAAGATCAATAGTTTTTTGTGGTTTATCTAAACATAAACGAATCATTAACGACGAACGACGTTTGTTGACATTAAATAGTTCAGATAAATCGGTCACTGCTGATACACTGCAGTTTTTCCATAACGTCTATACACATAAAATAAGAGAAACACTCACCCCGGCCAAGACCAAACATCATCATCATTTAGTCGTTTTGCACCGAGGTTGAGGATCCATCCACTGACAAAAAAAGTTCTATGTCTCCAAACTTTTGTACTTTGCCTTCATCTGTTGTCTGGTGTAGAACGACGTCTGAAGAGATAAATAGTTGGTGATCTCCTCTGCCTCGATTGTCGGCAAATCTTTTACTTCGGTCGAAAATTCTCTCATTTTCAATAAGATCAGGGTCACGTCCAATATATTTGTCGACTAACTGCTCGTACTTTTGCCTCGTTACTGCCTCTAAATCCTGACAATAAGAACTCTTCTCCATATCTGTGTTCTCCAGAGCCGTGTTTGTTTGTCGTGTTTGTTTGTCGTGTTTGTCTTCACTTCCTGCCCTCCACCTGAAATTCGTCATCGTGATCACGTGACTCAAACCCTCCTGTTCAACACCTGCAGGGGGAGTCACTGATTTACCCAGATACAACTGGAAGAAAAACTGTGATTGGTCCATTTCCATTTCATTATATTAACCACTTTGTTTCAGTCCAAGTTTAAAACAATGATCCAGAAATTATCACTAGTGTCGTGTTTATTACTCACTGAATAAAAAAATATTGAACAAATATATCATTACTACAAAAATTCCTTCAGTATTTTTTCTTGAGCCTTCACTGAAAATCCCTGAAGACCCTGAAGGTTCCACTCTGTATTTTGGCTCCTTAAAGGTTGTATAGAGGATTTTCCAAGGAAGGAGAAATCCAGCGACTGTTTGTCCTTTTTCAAATGTTGCTCCTGCGTGAAACCACCTCCCCTCCCCCACAGCTCCTACGTAGAAACACCTCCTCCCTCCTCCTCCTTAACCAGAAACAGGTTTGTTTACATCGGTGAACTGCACATGACTTGTAAACAACTAACTACAGTGTTGGTTAAGCAAGACCGAGAAGTGAGGAGCGGGGAGAAGAACAGAGCGAGGAACGAGGAGCGAGGAGAGAAGGGTGCAGGATTCAGTGCAAATGAAGCTACTACTACAACACGCAGCAGCAGGTGGACTCTTTCTTTGCATTGAAAATGACGTTTTCAGACATAGGATATCGCTTTCGTGTCCTGAAAAACGTTTGTCTCGCTCTTGGAAATAAAGTACGTTTTCATAATAAGCAGAAGTTTCCTGTCCAGGAGTAATTTGTGGACCAGTGGTTCAGTCTTTAGACCCTTCGTCTGCTTCAGTCGCGCCATCGCTGGAATGAATCTCCAAGAATCACCTTAGTTTGGCTTCGCTGCTTTTCCCCTTGTCTTCTTCTTTCACCTCAAAAACGGACTTTCTTTTGCGGCGAACTGCTCCTGGATTCTTGTCGCCATCGCAACAAACTTTGTGCGAACTGCGAGGAAGATATAGGTCAAAAAAAGCCGCTAAGAACTGTTGCGTTGGTGGAGTAAACAGCGTCTGTGTCGTACGTAAACCACGTACCGGCGGCGCAGGCAAGTCAGTTACACTAGAAACGTAGGGAGTTTGATTGACAGCCTGTCAGCTCACAGATAACGAGGCAGTGTCGTTATCTATTGGCAAATGTTTAGCCCCACCACGTCCAGAGTTGATGAATTTTTATTCTCTTTTTTTTGGTCATCATAATTACAAGGCGACTGCATCTATAATCTATCACTGACAATTTGAAACAAAAAAAAATCCTCCATACAACCTTTAATCTTTGTATCGTGTTTATTTCCGTGTCCCGTGTCATGGACTTTGAGTTTTTTGCGCAGGTTTTTCCGATGTTTTTTCAAAGGTCCCGACTCATGTGACCTTTAAACAATATTAGAAGAGTTTTAACTCCTCACAAACAGACCTGGAGTTGAGTTTTGTTTCATTCGCACACGTTTGTTCTCATCTCCGACGATAAAAACGCTCTGTTCCACTAAAAAGATGATTGTGGAGAAGATGTGTGGAGTTTAAAAACAGTTTAAATGTGCAGGTTTTGACGAAAAAAACGACAGAACTGATCAGAAAACGGTGTGAAATGTAAAACGGAGCTGCACCTGCACAGACGAGACTTTTACACACGTCGTTTTAAAATATAAAAAGGTGGAGCGGAAATGTAAATGTGTCCAGAGTTAAAAAAAAAAAAAAAAAAAAAAAAAAAGAGAGAGAGTGAGAGACGACGAAGAGAGAGAAGAAAAAACTTGTTCCATTACAGAGAAAAGTCCCAGGATCAGACTGAGAGAAACAAACGCTCCTCCTCCTGGACCTGACTCGTAAAAGAGAGGGAGGAGAGAAGAAAGAGAGAGAGGGAGCAGAAGAGAGGGAAGGAGGAGAAAGGGAGAGGGGGAAGAGGAGAGAGGGAGGAGTGAGAGGAAAAGAGAGGGAGAAGGAGAAGACAGGCAGAGAGGAGAGAGAAAGAGGGACAGAAGAGGAAGGAGAGAGGGAAGAGTGGGGAGAGAAAGAGGGAGAAGGAAAAGAGAGGAAGAGGGAGGAGAAAGGGAGAAGGGGAGGAAGAGGAGAGGGAGGAGAAGAGAGTGGGAGGAGAGAGAGGGATAAGAAAGAGGGAAAAGGAGAGGAGAGGAGGAGAAAGGGAGCAGGGGAAGAGGAGAGAGGGAGAGAGAGGGAGTGGGGAAGAGGGAGAAAAAAGAGGGAGAAGGAGAAAAGGAAGAGAGAGGAGGAGGGGAGGAAACGGAGAAGGAGGAAAAGAGAGAGAGAGGAGAGAGAGAGATTAAGAAAGAGGAGAGGAGAAGGAGAGGGGGAGAGAGAGAGAGAGAGGGAGAAGAAAGATGGTGAAGAAAGAGGGAGAGGGAGGAGAAGAGAGGAAAGGAGGAGAAAGGGAGAGGGGGAAAGGAGAGAGGGAGGAGTGAGAGGAAAAGAGAGGGAGAAGGAGCAGACAGGCAGGGAGGAGAGAAAGAGGGACAGAAGAGGAAGGAGAGAGGGAAGAGTGGGAGAAGAAAGAGGGAGAAGAAAGAGAGAGAGGGAGGAGAAGAGAGGGAAGGAGGAGAAAGGGAGAGGGGGAAGAGGAGAGAGGGAAGAGAGAGAGGAAAAGAGCGGGAGAAGGAGAAGACAGAAGAGGAAGAAGGAGGAGAAAGGGAGAGGGGGAGGAAGAGGAGAGGGAGGAGAAGAGAGTGGGAGGAGAGAGAGGGATAAGAAAGAGGGAAAAGGAGAGGAGGGGGAAAGGGGGAGGAGAGAGGAGGAGAGAGGGAGAAGAAAGATGGTGAAGAAAGAGAAGGAGGGAGCAGAAGAGAGGAAAGGAGGAGAAAGGGAGAGGAGAAAAGAAGACAGAGAGGAGGAGAAAGAGTGGAGAAGGGGAGGAGAGAGGAGGAGAAGAGAGGAAAGGAGGAGAAAGGGAGAGGAGAAGAGAGGGAGGAGGAGAAGAGTGGGAGAGGAGGGGGAAGAGGAGAGGAAGGAGAGAGGGAAGAGCAGGAGAAGAAAGGGGGAGAAGGAGGAGAAGAGAGAGAGAGAGGAGATGGAGAGATAAGAAAGAGGGAAAAGGAGAGGAGGAGGAGAGAAAGAAAGAGAGGGAGAAGAAAGAAGGAGAGAGGGAGGAGAGAGAGGAGAAGAGAAGAGAGACAGAAAAAAGAGGGAGAAGAAAGATTTAAGAGGAGAGGAGGAGGAGGGAAAGAGGGACAGGAGAGGAAAGAGAGAGGGAAGAGCGGGAGAAGGAGGAGAAGAGAGAGAGAGGAGAGATGGAGAGATAAGAAAGAGGGAAAAGGAGAGGAGGAGGAGAGAAAGAAAGAGAGGGAAAAGAAAGAAGGAGAGAGGGAGGAGAAGAGAGGAAAGAGGAGAGGAGGAGAAGAGAAAGAGGGACAGGAGAGGAAGGAGAGAGGGAAGAGCAGGAGAAGAAAGAGGGAGAAGGAGAGGAAGAAGAGAGGGTGCGAAGAGCGAGAGGGGGAGGGAAAAGAAAAGAGGGAGAGCAGGAAAGGGAGAGGAGAAGAAAGAGGGAAAGAGGGAAAAGAGGAGGAGGAGGAGGAGTGGAGGTCAGTCTGGTGGAGCTCGGGCCAAACACATGGCCTTGGGTGTGGTCAGGAGTCAGGAGTTTCTATGACGTCAGACGAGCCCAGAGTCGAGGTGAAGGTGGCACGAGTCTGAAAGTGACGTCACCACGAGGAGCTTCGTCCAGGTTTTCCACTTCACTGTTTCTGCTGAAAACTCAAACTTCAACAACCTTTTCTTTTTACGTTATTATCAGATCGACTGAAAAACGACAAACTGAACAAAACCTTTTAAGAAGAACATGAAGAAAAGGATCACGTGAAGATGTTTAGATGTTTAGATGTTTCACGATCAGACTAAAGAACTCGAGAACTCAGATGATTCTCGTAGTTTCAAGAACATTCCAGAAGGTTTTACCGTAAACTCCAGAGTGTGAAACAGAACCTGCTGCATCCAGATTCTTCTTCACGTGTTTATGAACCTGAGTAACGAGAAACTGAAGAAACCAGGAGCAGCGTCGCCTCCGCTTCACTTCACCAGAGTCAAAATGTTTATAAATGAACATTAAACTCCACGTGTTTGTGTTTGTTGTTTGTTGTTTGTTGTTTGTGTTTGTTTTTGTTTGTTGTTTGTGTTTGTGTTTGTTGTTTGTGTTTGTTTGTTGTTTGTTTTGTTGTTTGTGTTTGTTTTGTTTTTGTTTGTTTTTGTTTTGTTTTGTTGTTTGTTTTTGTTTGTTGTTGTTTGTGTTTTTTGTTTTTGTTTGTTGTTTGTTGTTGTTTTTTGTTTGTTTTTGTTTGTTTGTTGTTGTTGTTTGTTTGTTTTGTTTGTTTGTTGTTTTGTTGTTTGTTTGTTTTGTTGTTTGTGTTTGTTTGTTGTTTGTGTTTGTTGTTTTTGTTTGTTGTTTGTTGTTTTGTTGTTTGTTGTTTGTGTTTGTTGTTTGTTTTTGTTTGTTGTTTGTGTTTGTGTTTGTTGTTTGTGTTTGTTGTTTGTTGTTTGTTTTTGTTGTTTGTGTTTGTTTGTTTTGTTGTTTTTGTTTTGTGTTTGTTGTTTGTTTGTGTTTGTTTGTTTTGTTTTTTGTTGTTTTTGTTGTTTGTTTTGTTGTTTGTTTGTTTTGTTTTGTTGTTTGTGTTTGTTGTTTGTGTTTGTTGTTTGTGTTTGTTGTTTGTGTTTGTTTGTTTGTTGTTTTTGTTTGTTGTTGTTTGTGTGTGTTTGTTTGTTTGTTTGTTTGTTTGTGTTTGTGTTTGTTGTTTGTTTGTTTTGTGTGTTTGTTTGTTGTTTGTGTTTGTTGTTTGTGTTTTGTTTGTTTTGTTTTTGTGTTTGTTGTTTGTGTTTGTGTGTTTGTTGTTTGTGTTTGTTTTTTTGTTGTTTGTTGTTTGTTTTGTTTTGTTTTTGTTTTGTGTTTGTTGTTTGTTGTTTGTTTCACCTGTGGAGACTTTGGTCCAGGTGATGGAGGGCCTGGGTTCGCCCTCGGCCTCACAGTGCAGCCAGGCGACGCCGTCTGCTGGAAACGACACAGTCCGGACGTGAGGGTCTGAGATCCTGGGTCTGGAGCGAAGGACGGGGACCTGGACCAAGAAAACAGAAACATGATCTGAAAATGGGTCAAGTGTTAACGGAGGAAACAGGGTCAGATTTTTGACATTCAAATGTCTCTTATTCAGAAACTAGAGGAACTATTGAAATAAGTAAAGTATCAGAATGTAGGAAAGAGTTACACTCCAACAGGGTCAAGTTAAACCTGTGAGATTCTTTCAAGTTCAAGACAAAAAATGTAAAAACTCATGTCGGTAACGGAGGGAATGAAATATGCAGCACTTTTTGGTCAATAAATCCAAACAGTGATAACTCTTGGTTCTCACTTCCATATCCTTAACAAACTGGTTTGAATATTTGCTTCATATAGTTTTCTACCATATGGTACAAGATTAGGTTGAAAAACCTCTGACTTTTTGACTCATGAGATTTTTTATTAAGAAAGTTCATGGTAACGGAGGGAAAAGTAACGGAGGGAAAATTGTACAAACAAGTAGAAGGTGCAGGATTTTACATCATTTGTGGCTTTTTTCTTCTTGAAAACTTTAATATTACTTCAAAATGAAAGGAAACTATTTCTATAAAATATGTCAGTCCTTCCAAGAACATTTTTATCATTTTAAATACTTTTTTTTTTTTTTTTTAAATCCTGTCCCTTCATCAACAGTTCAAAGATTGGAATAACACAAGATATGATGAAATACAAACATTTATTTACATTATTTCCAGGTCTGTGAAATTTGGGAAATAAGTTTTGTTCCATGTTTCATTCATGGTCTGTTTAAAACAGATGGAACTTTAGAACCAAAAATGGTCCAGAAAAAAGGTCAACAGTTTGATAAACTCGAGTACATATGTATCTGTTCAATACACTTTTATATCAGATGAATTCACTTTTAATTATTTAATTTTTGGCCTTGTTGTTTACTTCTGCTTGACTGGGCCCAGGTGAAATAGACAGCAGACATGTGCTTGGAAAAAACTAAGGTGTGTAGGAAATTCCTGTCAGACTAAAAGATGATCGTGTCTAATAGTGAATCTTGGACAACAGTTTGGAAATCGGTCAGAAATAGTGATTCCAGAGCAGCAGGAGCCTCATGACTTCATCCACACGTCAACGTAAACAAGACTTTTTCACAGCAGTTTTCTTCTACTTGGAGCTCGGTCGTCTCCAGTTTCAGAGCCGCTCGGGCAAAACGAACGGATTTCAATTTGACTCAAATCGGATCAATTCCACATTTCCTCAGAGACGTTGGGGAGAGCGGTGGAACTTTACGCCGACACTAACACAAACACGCACAAGTGAAAACACATTTGAGGATCTGAGTTTTTTGGAAAAGCGAAGAAACGCATCGATCACGAGAACAAACAAACACAAACACTGAAGCTCCGGAAAGTTCCACACGACGGACGAGAAGAAAACGACAACAGAGTCACAGAGTCGACGCTTCTGTCCACAAAAAATAAATAAATAAAAAAACAGATCATGATTTGTTTTTTTTTAGTTTTTGATTTTGTGTTTAAATGAAAAATGGAAAAAAAAAAAACAGATAACGAACTGAACCAGGACTAAACCAGGACTAAACCAGGACTAAACCAGGACTAAACCAGGACTGAACCAGGATTAAACCAGGACTAAACCAGGTCCTAAACCAGGACTGAACCAGGACTAAACCAGGACTAAACCAGGACTAAACCAGGACTGAACCAGGATTAAACCAGGACTAAACCAGGTCTAAACCAGGACTAAACCAGGACTAAAACCAGGACTGAACCAGGACTAAACCAGGACTAAACCAGGACTAAACCAGGACTGAACCAGGACTAAACCAGGACTAAAACAGGTCTAAACCAGGACTGAACCAGGACTAAACCAGGACTAAAACAGGTCTAAACCAGGACTGAACCAGGACTAAACCAGGACTGAACCAGGACTAAACCAGGACTAAAACCAGGACTAAACCAGGAAACCAGGACTTAAACCAGGACTAACCAGGACTAAACCAGGTCTAAACCAGGACTAAACCAGGACTAAACCAGGACTGAACCAGGACTAAACCAGGACTAAACCAGGTCTAAACCAGGACTGAACCAGGACTAAACCAGGACTAAACCAGGACTAAAACAGGTCTAAACCAGGACTGAACCAGGACTAAACCAGGACTAAACCAGGACTAAACCAGGACTAAAACCAGGACTAAACCAGGACTGAACCAGGACTAAACCAGGACTAAACCAGGACTAAAACAGGACTAAACCAGGACTGAACCAGGACTAAACCAGGACTAAACCAGGACTAAACCAGGACTAAACCAGGACTGAACCAGGACTGAACCAGGACTAAACCAGGACTAAACCAGGACTAAACCAGGACTAAACCAGGACTGAAACCAGGACTGAAACCAGGACTAAACCAGGACTAAACCAGGACTGAAACCAGGACTAAACCAGGACTCTAAACCAGGACTAAACCAGGACTAAACCAGGACTGAACCAGGACTGAACCAGGACTAAACCAGGACTAAACCAGGACTGAACCAGGACTGAAAGGAAAACCAGGACTGAACCAGGACTGAAACCAGGACTAAACAGGTCTAAACCAGGACTGAACCAGGACTAAACCAGGACTGAAACCAGGACTAAACCAGGACTGAAACCAGGACTAAACCAGGACTAAACCAGGACTGAACCAGGACTGAACCAGGACTGAAACCAGGACTGAAACCAGGACTGAACCAGGACTAAACCAGGACTAAACCAGGACTGAACCAGGACTGAACCAGGACTAAACCAGGACTAAACCCAGGACTGAAACCAGGACTGGAAACCAGGACTAAACCAGGACTAAACCAGGTGAACCGTAAACCAGTCTCAGTCCTGGTTGACTGAGGTCAAGATCAGACCAGGACCGAGACCGGTTTAGTCCTGGTTTAGACCTGGTTTAGGACTGAGACCGGGACCTGGACTGAACTGGAGACCAGTTATTTCTGGTTTAGTCCTGGTTTAGACCTGGTTTAGGTCCTGGTTTAGTCCTGGTTTAGACTGGTTTAGACCTGGTTTGTCCTGGTTTAGTCCTGGTCCTGGTTTACCTGGTTTGACCTGGTCCTGGTTTAGTCCTGGTTTAGACCTGGTTTACCTGGTTTACCTGGTTTAGTCCTGGTTTGGTCCTGGTTTAGTCCTGGTTTACCTGGTTTAGTCCTGGTTTAGGTCCTGGTTTAGTCCTGGTTTAGACCTGGTTTAGTCCTGGTTTAGTCCTGGTTTAGTCCTGGTTTAGTCCTCCTGGTTTGGGTCCTGGTTTAGTCCTGGTTTAGTCCTGGTTTAGTCCTGGTTTAGTCCTGGTTTAGTCCTGGTTTAGTCCTGGTTTAGTCCTGTGGTTTAGACCTCCTGGTTTAGTCCTGGTTTGGTCCTGGTTTAGTCCTGGTTTAGTCCTGGTTTAGTCCTGGTTTAGTCCTGGTTTAGTCCTGGTTTAGGTTGGGTTTTTGGTTTTAGACCTGGTTTAGTCCTGGTTTCCTGGTTTATTTTTGGTTTTATTTTGAAAAACAAATGAACGAACGACCCACAGATTGAGCCTCAACCGGGAAAGTTACACAAACACTTTAACATTTACTCCAGTACAAACACCTCCAAACAGAACAGAACTTTTACTCTTTTACTCTTGTACTTTTACTCGTGTACTTGTACTTCCTCCGCAGAGCCGTGTACTCACCCGGGGGGAGAGCGGGAGCCTCGCGGGGGGAGGAGCCACGTGTGTCCGGCTGCTCTGTGAGTCCGGGATGGCGTTGGCGGATCCGGGCCTGGTCCGGTCCGTGGGGGGTCCACTCTGCCCCGGCGTCCCAGGAATGAGCCTCTGTCTGGGAGTACTGGACCTCCAAGGGTGTACTGAAGTACTTTTAGACGCAGTAGCAGTAGAAGTAGTAGTAGAAGTAGTAGTAGTAGTAGTTTAGCATTACTGTTCAATAATTTGTTTGTAAAAGTAGAAGTACTGGTTGTAGTACTAGTAGTAGCTGGAGTAGAAGTGGTAGTAGTAGTAGTAGTAGCTTTAGTAGAAGTTGTAGTACTTGTAGTAGCTGGAGTAGTTGTTGTTGTAGAAGTAGTAGATGGAGTAGAAGTTGTAGTAGTAGTAGTAGTAGTAGAGGTCGTCGTTGGAGTTTTAGTTGTAGTACTTGTAGTAGCTGGAGTAGTTGTTGTAGTAGTAGTACTAGTAGTAGTAGCTCGAGTTGAAGTTGTAGTACTAGTAGTAGGTGGAGTAGTTGTAGTAGTAGTAGTAGTAGTAGTAGTTGTAGTAGTAGTAGTAGTAGTTGGAGTAGTTGTAGTAGTAGTAGTAGGTGGAGTAGTTGTAGTAGTAGTAGTAGTTGTAGTAGTAGTAGTAGTAGTAGTAGTAGTAGTAGAGTAGTAGTAGTAGTAGCAGAAGCTGCAGTTGAAGTTGTAGTACTAGTAGGTGGAGTAGTTGTAGTAGTAGTAGTAGTAGGTGGAGTAGTTGTAGTACTAGTAGTAGTAGGTGGAGTAGTTGTAGTACTAGTAGTAGTAGCTGGAGTTGAAGTTGTAGTACTAGTAGCTGGGGTAGTAGTAGTAGTAGTAGAAGTAGTAGTAGTCGTAGTAGTAGTAACTGGAGTAGAGGTTGTAGTAGTCGACGTCGCAGTGCTTGTAGAAGTCGAAGTTGCAGTACTCGTCGCAGTTGTAGTACTTTGAATATCTTCCGTAGTAAAATCAGTAGACGGAGTAAACCTCGTCGTCGTCGTCGTCGCTCGAGTAACTGAACCGACGGCGAGGAGTGCGTCTCCGCTGCTCGGAGAGGAGGCGGAGGAACCGGCGGAGTCTGGCGGAGGAAGAGGACGACGACGAGGAGGAGGAGGTGGGAATCCAAACACGTTCGTTTCCGTGTCCGCGTCGGGTTCGCCTTCGGGTTTTTCCGCGTTTTTACTTTTACTCGAAGTCCTCCGGGAGCCGTGCGATCCGAGGAAGTCCGGTGTTGTTGTCGTTGTTGTCCCGAAACGCGAAGAGGACGTCGAAGTTGGAGGACTGAACGTTGAACTTGGACGCTTCGAGAACCTTATTTGGCTGGTTTCGGACGTAGACGGCATTTTGAGGCGATCCGGCGTGTCAGGGATCGGTCGCGTTGGGGTCACGGGTCGACCTCGCGTCCGGTGAAACATCCGTCTTCGACCCAAGTTCCTTCGGGCGTTCCAAGGACTAGACGGACGCAGGTTTGTCGGTCTTTCTTGCACTTTTGGAACAATTTCGCTGGTTGTCGTTATCACATTTCGAACGGTCGTTGAAGCAGTAGTCGCTGTAGTTGAAGTCGCGAATGTAGAAGTCGTAGTAATTTCTGTTTTCTGGCTTGTAGTTTCATCGAACTCAGTCGCATCTTCGTTGATTCTTGAGCTCCCGTCTGTTTCCACGTTTGTTTGCGACTCGGCCTCGTCCACGTTGACAGAGTAAACGGTCTCTTCCTCAAACGTCCTTCGGTCATCCCCGGACGAGGTTTCCGTTTCCTCGTGAACTTTGCTTTCGCTCTTCTCCGTTGGCGCAGCTGGCTGGTTGTCGCTCGCTGTAATCGCCTTCTCGCGTATCTTAGCCAACAGGTCCGCCCACTTTTTCGGATCGATCCTTTGTCTGTTGGGCGTTACTCTGTTCCTCCCCAAGAGCCGGTTCCTCCTCTCGTTCGCTGGCCGACTCCTCCCATTCCCTCGTCTTCTCTGATTGTTTAAAAATGGTCTCCTGTTTCTAACTTCTTCTTCTTCTCCTTCCTCATTCTCTTCCCCGTTTCCCGATCCCTCGTCCGGCCTCAACAGCGGCGCTCTTATCTTCGTCGACCTCCCGGCGGCGAACTGCGGCCTTCTGGGGAACGCTTTCTTGAGGAGCGGGGTCTGCAGCGGCTTTAGCTCGAGCCGCGTCGAGAGAGAGTCGCTGCTGTATTGGTTTACCGCGACGCACCTGTATTGACCGGCGTCCCTCAGGGAAGGCTTGGCGAGGGAGAGACTGCCGTTCGCTTCCACGGCGATGCCAAACGAGAGCGCTGAGCTGTGCCGGAGCAGATTTCCGTTTGGTAGAAGCCAGCTGGTGAAAGGCGGAGGCGATCCTGAGGCGTTGCATGAAATAGTGATGGGCTCTCCAATTAAAGCGCTTAACTCGACTGGTTCTCTTCTTGGAGACGCCGGCAGTTCGACTACGACCAATTGCACCGGCAGAATGTCTAGATCTTTCCCGTTAGAAGCTTTGCAGTAGTATAAACCGGAATCGGAAAGCTCCAGGTTTTCTAACATCAACCCCGAAGACAAAACTTTCCATCTGCTTTCCGAACTTGAAGAAGATGGCGTAATTTTCGAACCATCTGGGAAAATCCACTCGACTTTGTGCCCGCCAGAGCTGCGAATCGGACACGGCAGCTCAGTCGCGGTCCCCACCACCGCCGACACCCCTCTGAGCGTCCCGTTGGTCGAAATGAGCACCCACGGGCGACCGGCGGCGAGGTCGGACTGCGCGGACACCCTCGTGGACAGCACCAGGTGGACGGCGTGTCTGTCGGACTTGGCTCGGTTCAGCTGGATGCTCACGGCGGGTTGCAGGAGCCAGTGCGGCGAGGCGGCGATGGAAGCTTTGACGCCCGTGTGGTACTCGCCCTCCGCCTCGGGGGCTTGCCTGTAGCGGTACGCCAACGTCGGAGCTTTACTGAGCATCAGGCCCCTCTCGAGCCGCGCCGCAGACTCGCTGTAGTACGCCATGATCCGCCACAGCTTCTCGTAGCTCTGGCGTTCGGCGCGGCATTCCAAGGACAGCGATAAAGCGACGGAAAGCGGGAACGACTGGAACGAGGAGAGCGCCGAGGAAATGTCCGGGGAGGTGTACGTTCTCGAGACGTTACAGGCGACGTCCACGTTGAAGCCCTGCTGGTCGGACAGAGACAGGGACAGCGATCCGAGGGGAGCGTGGAAGGACTGGCGCGGGAGGACTTCGGGGAGGTCGGGCGGGTCCAGAGGGGGAACTCGTCCCGGGGCGGAGATGAGAGGAGCGGAGCAGGACAGGACGGGCTGGTCCAGAAGACCCTGGTGCTGCAGGGACGGGGGGGAGGCACAGACCGGGCACTGAGGACCTCCAGGGCATTTCATGACACCTGAAAAAAACACAAATGTGACGGTTAGTTTGGGTCACGCTGCGTTGGTGGTTTTCAGATTTCAGAAAGTGATGGGAGAAGGGGACAGTTTTTCCCTATTGATTACACTGAACTTTTATGAGAAATATCTAAAAAGTAAATAAAAAAAATGTTGAAGCTGATCATTTCTATAGATCTAGTGCACTGAACACTAGTGCACTAATGCAGACCAAGACCAGGACAAGACCAAGACCTCTGAGGGTCAAAACTGAGACCAAATCGAGACCATCTTTGTCATTTTTTTAACATTTTTTTTATACTTTAGAGTTATTTTGGCACATTTATATCAAAGTTTTTATATACATCTCTCCATTTGATCTGATGAATTTTCATTTAAGCTTAAAATAAGAGAAGGAAAACTGTGCTGCACTAAACACTTGTTTCACCTTTTCTGGATCCTCACCCACAGTTTGAGGATCCCGTCTTTAAACCAACTTCACTGGCACTTTACACAAAACTGTGAAGAAAGTGGGTTGGATTTCTAAAGCTGTTTTCTTAACTGGAGTCACATTCTCTTACTGGTTTATGACTTACAAACTTCAGCCACATGTGGCTGTAGGTCTGTTCTGTTTGGACATTTAACATGTTGCAAACACTTCGATCAGTTTTTGCAGTTTTATAGAACAGATCTGATCTGGCACCATGTGGACTCCTGAAAACTCTGATACTCTGATGTGTGTCTGTCACCACAAAACACTAAGACACACAATATGTGTCCATTCACATAAACGTGTGTCTGTGTGCACCACCTGCACACGTATAATGTGTGAAAAGTTTCACATGAACCAACAACACGACACAAACACAGAACAGACTGAACATCAGCAGAACATCCCTCTGTCACAGAGAGAACACCCCTCTGACACAGAGAGAACACCCCTCTGACACACAGAGAGAACACCCCTCTGACACATCTGACACAGAGAGAAACCCCTCTGTCACAGAGAGAGAACACCCCTCTGACACAGAGAGAACACCCCTCTGTCACACAGAGAGAACACCCCTCTGACACACAGAGAGAACACCCCTCTGTCACAGAGAGAACACCCTCTGTCACAGAGAGAACACCCCTCTGTCACACACAGAGAGAACACCCCTCTGTCACAGAGAGAACACCCCTCTGACACACAGAGAGAACACCCCTCTGTCACAGAGAGAACACCCCTCTGACACAGAGAGAGAACACCCCTCTGTCACACAGAGAGAACACCCCTCTGACACAGAGAGAACACCCCTCTGTCACAGAGAGAACACCCCTCTGTCACAGAGAGAGAACACCCCTCTGTCACAGAGAGAACACCCCTCTGTCACAGAGAGAACACCCTCTGTCACAGAGAGAAACACCCCTCTGACACAGAGAGAGACACACCCCTCTGTCACAGAGAGAACACCCCTCTGACACAGAGAGAGAACACCCCTCTGTCACACAGAGAGAACACCCCTCTGTCACAGAGAGAACACCCCCTCTGACACAGAGAGAACACCCTCTGTCACAGAGAGAACACCCCTCTGTCACAGAGAGACACCTCTGTCACAGAGAGAACACCCCTCTGACACAGAGAGAAACCCCTCTGACACAGAGAGAACACCCCTCTGACACAGAGAGAGAACACCCCTCTGTCACAGAGAGAGACACACCCTCTGTCACACAGAGAGAACACCCCTCTGTCACACAGAGAGAACACCCCTCTGACACAGAGAGAACACCCCTCTGTCACAGAGAGAGAACACCCCTCTGACACAGAGAGAACACCCTCTGACACAGAGAGAACACCCCTCTGACACAGAGAGAAACACCCCTCTGACACAGAGAGAACACCCTCTGTCACAGAGAGAGAACACCCCTCTGACACAGAGAGAACACCCTCTGACACAGAGAGAACACCCCTCTGACACACAGAGAGAACACCCCTCTGTCACAGAGAGAACACCCCTCTGTCACACAGAGAGAACACCCCTCTGTCACAGAGAGAACACCCCTCTGTCACAGAGAGAACACCCCTCTGACACAGAGAGAACACCCCTCTGACACACAGAGAGAACCCCCCTCTGACACAGAGAGAACACCCCTCTGACACACAGAGAGAACACCCCTCTGACACAGAGAGAACACCCCTCTGACACAGAGAGAACACCCTCTGTCACAGAGAGAGAACACCCCTCTGTCACACAGACAGAGAGAACACCCCTCTGACACAGAGAGAACACCCCTCTGACACACAGAGAGAACACCCCTCTGACACAGAGAGAACACCCCTCTGTCACAGAGAGAACACCCCTCTGTCACACAGAGAGAGAACACCCCTCTGTCACAGAGAGAACACCCCTCTGTCACAGAGAGAACACCCCTCTGTCACAGAGAGAACACCCCTCTGACACAGAGAGAACACCCCTCTGACACAGAGAGAGAACACCCCTCTGACACAGAGAGAGAACACCCCTCTGTCACAGAGAGAACACCCCTCTGACACAGAGAGAGAACACCCCTCTGTCACAGAGAGAACACCCCTCTGACACACAGAGAGAACACCCCTCTGACACAGAGAGAACACCCCTCTGTCACAGAGAGAACACCCCTCTGACACAGAGAGAACACCCCTCTGTCACAGAGAGAACACCCCTCTGACACAGAGAGAGAACACCCCTCTGACACACAGAGAGAACACCCCTCTGTCACAGAGAGAACACCCCTCTGACACAGGGAGAACACCCCTCTCAGTCTGTTTTTTGAGCATTAGTTTATTCATATTATCCGTGCAGTTTTAAGTTTCATTTCTGTAAAACATAAATAAATCTGTTCTGTTCTGTTTGGACACAGAGTCGAGTCGTCGTTGCTCTGAGTCGCTGCTCGTCTTAATCCAGTGTTAATCAAAGTAACAACTGAACCTCGTCGTCGGTTCATGAAAAGTCTGTTTTTACACTCGTCGTTTCCCTCGGCTCAAAATCAGCTGCTGCAGCTTCACACTTCCTTGTTTTTACTGCTCATGTGACGTTGGGACGTTTCAGGCGGTTTTGTGTTTCTGTGTGGACAGGAAACACTTTGATTGTGAACACAGAAAAGACGTGAGTGGACAAAAATCGTTTCCGATACAGTGATACGTTGATACAGTGATGGTGATACGGTGATACGGTGATACGGTGATACGCTGATACGCGGATTCGTTTCAGTGTAAACGAACTCTTAACTGCCCAGTCAGACCAGAAAGAGAGGATTTGGTTGTAACTGTAACAGGTCAGTCCCTCTCACCTTCATATTGAAAATCAAACTCTAACACACGAACACTCAGACGGGTCACAGACTCCGGAAATCTGCTCTTTAAATCCATTTTGTATTTTTTCTTGAGTTTTCAAACCATTTTAAAGCTTTTTTTGTCAGTATTTGCTCATGTATCAGTGCAGCTCTTTCCTCACAATAATCAGGTTTGAGAATCACAAGGACAAACAGGAGAGAGGAGGTTCTGGGTCAGATTGATAAAACGGTCAGTCTGTCACAAAAACACGTTTTGAAGTGCAAAATATTATATTGAATAAATGATCATATTGAAACTTATTTATTCCACTGACACGACGACCCTGAAGCACCATTACCCCACAAAAAAGACTCCAAACTGTTAGAACGTACGAGCTGCAATCAATAAATCAATCAATAAATAAATAAATATCAGAATGAAACACTCTGCTGATGTGTTTATACAGACGTTCAGGGATCATTTCACCAACTGCTGTCATCTTTCACATTGAATTCTATTTATTTGCCACTTTTGTAAATTATTTTTTATCATTATAATAAATAAATGTTTTTTGTTTACACTGTTGACAGTTTGGAACATTTGGTTGTTTGTCGATTTCTAAACTACAGCAGCTTTTACACAGAACATGACCCCAGGAAGACACGGGGAGGGAGGGCATCTGACACACAGGGAGGGCATCTGACACACAGGGAGGGAGGGCATCTGACACACAGGGAGGGAGGGCATCTGACACACAGGGAGGGATCTGACACACAGGCATCTGACACACAGGGAGGGAGGGACACACAGGGGAGGGAGGCATCTGACACACAGGGAGGGAGGGCATCTGACACACAGGGAGGGAGGGCATCTGACACACAGGGAGGGAGACACACACAGGGAGGGAGGGCATCTGACACACAGGGAGGGCATCTGACACACAGGGAGGGAGGGCATCTGACACACAGGGAGGGAGGGCATCTGACACACAGGGAGGGAGGGCATCTGACACACACAGGGAGGGCATCTGACACACAGGGAGGGCATCTGACACACAGGGAGGGCATCTGACACACAGGGAGGGCATCTGACACACAGGGACATTTCAGGCTGATAAAAGTGGAAGCTGAAAAACAGACGGGCTGAACACAAACAGGTGCAGGGACCTGAAAGCCCCTGAATCCATCGACCGTGTGACAAAGAAACCAACTCCTGTAAAAACCTAAATATCTGTAGAATTGAACATATTAAAGAAAGAATAAGAGTCGTCCTGGATCTACACTCTCAGGACCCCCCAGTTTCCAGGAGTTGGATTTCTCCCTCTTCCTTTAAAATCACAAGCTTTAAATCTGCAATCATTTCCTATTTTTAACATCTTTGTCTCCACGACACTGTTTAAGATCAGCCCTCTAATATATATATATATATATATATGTTATATACATGTTGTATCTGTAGTACTTTTGTATTTTTTGTTTTCTTGTTGGGAATTGTACTATTTATATCCTGTATCTTGTATTAAATCTTATCTTAAAAAACTCTAAACTCTGTACATGTCCCATCCCAGTTTTGTATTTAAACTGGTCCAACACTGAAAAGCACCAAAATGACAATTTTGCACAATCTGTGTTCATCCAAGAAGCTCTGCCCCTTAAAGTTTCAATATTTCAGAAACTGTTTGTAGTTTAACACACAGAGTCTGCAGCTTTTACACAGATGAACCTGTGTGTA